AGAAGTGAAAGATAATACCTACACTTCTCATAGAAGAAAAAATATAGAACCTTTTTGGTTGAAAACACATATTTTGGGGCATTTTGGGACCCTCATCAATTATTTTAAAAAATACAAAGTAGGATTTTAAAAGGTTATCTCCCAATTGACAGACACCCAGTTGACAGACACTAAACTGGAAGGTTAATTAGGGTAACACCTACGGGTATAATGGAACAGTCCACCGTCTAGTGAGTCGATCAGGGTGAGCCTGAAACAGGTTCGTTACTGAGAAGTTTGATTGTGGGTAAATAGAACTTTGTTGTGATAAATGATTTGTCTTCTCAAATTGATTTTACTATAAATTACTATCAAATATAAAAACAGCTTTGCCATTGAGAGGTTTGATTGTGTTTATTGATAGAAAAGACCCCTTCCAATAGTAGTACATGTACAACAGAAGTTAACTGAGAAAACGTTTTGTTGGAGAGATATAGATATGTACATATTTGAAAACATTCTGATTTGCAGTAAATGAGACACCTGCATTGCCATGTAAGATACGATTAATACAAATCAGTGTTTTACTTTTAACAATACTTTCTAAAGATTGTAACAGTTTGTGTCTTTGAGTAGTATACAATGGACATTCAAGGAAGTAATGAAAAACATTCTCACATCCATGCCCACATTGACATGATGTGTCATATTTCAAATATTTATCCTAAACAAATCGTAATTAAGTGCACGGTCATCATGTATCTTAATATTGTGTACAAACATATAACTTCTTTATTCCATATGAATAATATTTAGGTTCACATTTGTCCATTTGATTTATATGATACAACAGTGTCGCAATTTCCAATAGCTAAGCTAATGTTTTCAATATGATGATGCCGACTCCCGACTAGAATGTTAAACCGAAAGGTTTATGAAAATAAACTGTTTTTATATTGCAGTAATAAAACAATAAAAATTTAAATTACTCTCTTTTCGTCCATCTTTCAAAATATATAACATAGCTTCAGTTTGTTCCTGTGTTTTTATTTGGACTATTCCATTATAATGTGTAGGTAACAGGTAGTAGATACTCTGTTCACTGAACTGTAAATGTTGTTGTTTTAAGGTGTCTGCGAACTGGCTGTCTGCGTAATGGGAGGACACCTTTTAAAATGTTAGAACACTGGCAATACACTGATCCAGTCTGTCAATCAAAACTGGTGCATGCGTCAATTTTGGCCAATCAGCAGGCCGGGCGCGCTTTGTGGATTTGTCAGACTTATTTCCAGGGTCAAACGATGCCTCGGAAGCGATGTGCTTCCTATTATGCCATTCAGACTCCCTATATATATTACATATTACTGCGATTTGATGTGTACCTTTAACAGGGCCATTACGGTCAAGATAAAAGTTTTGAGGCGGACCAAGGAGTGCGATAGGCCTCACGATCAGTGACATGTCTGCACCATCGCTCACGAAACCTACGTCTGCTTGAGGGTGAGAATTTGCACGAATTAACACACTTTCTCACATGTGCAAAATCATTCCCAATAGATGACAACAAATAGCAGTTTAAGACTTTGCAAGTGTTATAAACATTTGTAACTACAAAATTGTTTTTGCTTAACGTTTTTAGTCAATACTGGGCATTGAGTTGGTACACCATAAAGCTGAAATGAGACAGGCGAGAAAGCCGTGACACAATGTAAACAAATCTGACAGCGATCTGATTTCGGTTAAGGTCGATCGAAATAGCAGAACTTGTTACATTAAAGAACAATGTGGTGTATATTGTTACCATCACCCTTGGATATTCTCACAAAATTGTCACACGTTATACGATGTTTTAAAGTTTCAAAAACACAATCTGAAAGCCTACTGTACACTATCTGTTATTAGTGCAAAATATTCGAGGAATAATAAAAAAAATTAAAAAATTAATTCAAATTAGTGTCTATAAAACCATGCCTAAAATATTTCAGAATTTCTATAAAGAGATGGGACCATGAATTGAATTACCTTACTACATGTGGATCAGTGGATCAGAGACGAAAACTATGTGAGAAGAATAGTCACTTTCTGGAATATTGGACAGAGTGAAATACAAGTTTTTTTCTTAACTATGAGAACATTATTTCTTTTGAATTTTGTTACAACATATTTTTTTTACATGTAGGGGAGGTGCACTGGTACATTTTAGGAGTAATAACATAGCTGTCATTTTAATTATAATTCACTGGAAATGATAGCAAGGTATGTTTTTAGAATCTTGTGTCCTTAAGTAAAAGTGGAAAGGTATTAAGTTAAATAATAACATAATCAATTATAAATTATTACTTAGTTGACTGACATATCAGTTTCATGTGATTTTAAGGCAGAGCTAGGCAAACAAACACTAAATACATACCCTGGCAGAACAATCACTTGCTATTAACTTAATTAGTTTGTTGGCTCCTGCTTTGTTTTTTTTAAATAATATATGTACTAAAAGGATTATTCTGAAAGTGATTACTGGTAGCAAACTCATGATAAAAAAATTTAAACATCCAGGGAATGTGAAAAAAATAAAGGCTACGTTTTGGTCACACCCTGGTCAGGCATTGTTCAGTCTTGGAACAGAATAACTTACACAATTTTCAGTTGACTAGTCATGTAACTTGAATGAACATTGAAACATATATTATCCCAGATTTGCTGTAATACTTCTTGGTAACCTCCTCAAAAGCTGATGATTTCTATTATTTGAAGACTGAGCCAAAGTAGTGTTTATTAAGATGTTGGTTTTGGACAAATTGTTCAAGGTTTGTTGATGGTTATTTGGAAAATAAGCTTCATATCAAATTGCACACTGATGAGAAGGAGGTGAAAGCTTCAGGACATTTTCATGTGTGCTTTTCTAAACTTTTATTTTGATACCAATTTTGAAACAACTTAAATATATTTTTGATGACACTAGTAAGTATATCAGAAAAGGAAATAAATTAGATCAAAATTAGTGTTATGTCCCTTAGGGATATGGTCTCAGATATAGTAAAACAAAGATTACCATTGTTTAAAAAGCAATAATGACCATAAGTAATTTTATTGACAAAAAGCTTTGAACTTAGGATATATTCTTTGCACCTTTTTTACATTAGTAGTTAGCAGTTAAATATCTCTGAAGAAAAAGCAGTATATTTGTATTTTGTGTAACAATCTATTTCAATGCTAGTTAGTTGTTTAGATAACTGTGGATCCTCTGTTCAAAGATTTTGCATCACAGGTTTCCTATTTCAGGAAGATGGGTACGTCAGTGTACAGGTGCAGACTGTATCTTGGATCTTCTTTGTGTTATTGTGGTGTGACATATCTGTACATAAATGCTGGCAGTTGATGAAGTCCAGTATTGTGGAAGTTTGTAAATTATGATTCCACAACAAAGTACACAAGAAAAATATATTGGAAAGGATGATATAAAAATGGATTTCCTTATATTCAGTGTCATTTTAGGATGGTGTACAGATTTTGAAGAGATATATTATACTGAGAATTGCTACTGAATATTTGCTTCGAGGTATGTCCAGATACCTCCAACAACCTTATTCATGTTCCCAAATAACATCAAATAGTACAAATATACACAAATAAGACGGGCAAAGTCGTAGACGTGAAACATTTTTTCTGCTTTGTTTATTAAAAGGTAGAAACCCATGGTTTCACATTATTGATTTAACTAACTTTGAACAACAAATGAATAAAGGCGCCACACACAGTTTTGACAATCTATTTATAGATACCGAAACGATCTCCAGCTTGAACATGTGGCTGTGTTCACGGTTTTTGTAATATTACGATGGGAATTTTTAAATAAAAAACAAACAACATAATTCAGTTACCCTTCCCCTGCTAATATCTTAGGATGTGAATTGCCAGATATGTTATTTGGTTCCAAAGGAAATACGCTTCTTACTCTCACTTAGCAGCTGGCCGAGACGATTTTTCATCGGACATGCAACTCATTTTCACTCGCCAATTACAATCTGTCAACTAAAATATATTAAAAATAAAGTACGCATAACTTTCCTCTTTAAATATCATTCACAGACGACGGATACTAACGTACTACAAGCAGAATTCACCAACAACATTCTCAATCACGTACGTTTTGCTGGCGGTGACGGCATTGCGATTAGTCCGTGGTTGTCCCCCTAACGTCAAAAACAAAGTGGGCGGGGCTTATCAGCCGGGACTAGATTGGTCTATTATCTCAAGATCAATATGGTCCAAAAACATTAATTTATCTTCAAGTTACAAAGCCTTGTATGCAGTGTTTGCAACACTTTCATTTGCCAGTTGGCCATCAGGGCCTGCTGCGGCCTACAGACTTTAAAATCTACAGGCTGGTTTAACACACACATGGTTGGTTTAACACACACATGGCTGGTTTAATGCACACATGGCTGGTTTAACACACACATGGCTGGTTTAACACACACATGGCTGGTTTAATGCACATATGGCCGGTTTAATGTACACATGGCTGGTTTAACACACACATGGCTGGTTTAACACACATGGCTGGTTTAACACACACATGGCTGGTTTAATGCACACATGGCTGGTTTAACACACTCATGGCTGGTTTAACACACTCATGGCCGGTTTAATGTACACATGGCTGGTTCAACACACACATGGCTGGTTTAACACACACATGGCTGGCTTAACACACACATGGCTGGTTTAATGCACACATGGCTGGTTTAACACTCACATGGCTGGTTTAACACACACATAGCTGGTTTAATGCACATATGGCTGGTTTAATGCACATATGGCCGGTTTAATGTACACATGGCTGGTTCAACATAACACATGGCTGGTTTAACGCACACATGGCTGGTTTAACACACACATGGCTGGTTTAACACACACATGGCTGGTTTAACACACATGGCTGGTTTAACACACACATGGCTGGTTTAACACACATGGCCGGTTTAATGAACACATAGCTGGTTTCACTACATGTTGCTCACCTGGACACGCATCCTCTCCCCAAACAGTGGCACATACTGGAAGCCTGGAGCCTCAAGGTCGGCCAGGTGTGGGGGTAACGAGGGCAGCAAGTGAGGGGGCAGGTGATCAGAGGACAGGTAGCTGGCTCCCAGATCTGACATTGGCATGCGCGTCGCACGATATGACCAACTCTCAGCTGTAACACAGTAATCAACACAACAATCAAATTTCACGTATTTTGTCTGCATGTGAAACTTAGATACTGTCTTTGTGCAAAAAATGCTTAAACTCTCAAATAATGTTTTCTTTGCTATATGGCCACTGACTGCAAAACAAAGATGCAATTGTAACAGTGTATTTTTCATTTTGGAATGGTTTTGCAGTGGAGTCCCATGACCACAATTGTCAATTATGTGTTGTGTATATTTGTCTAATCTGATTCGTATGATAGGCAAAAATGCCACAAGTTTAAAAATGTTAGCATTAGTTTAAGATATCAGTCTAATAAATCTATCAATTGCTGGATACTTTATGAATTGTGCTAGTTTACTGGACAAAAATAATTTTGAAATTATGAAAAATGATGTATTTATTCATTGACACATTGATAAAATATTAACATACACATACCAGTATCCCTTATTTTGTCCAGTGTAAAAGTTAGAAACAATGGGAACTATCTTAGCTGTAAATGAGACGCATGTCACAGAGCCTGTAGTGTTCTGCAGTGAGATGTTACAGAGCCTGTAGTGTTCTGCAGTGAGATGTTACAGAGCCTGTAGTGTTCTGCAGTGAGATGTTACAGAGCCGGTAGTGTTCTGCAGTGAGATGTCACACAGCCTGTAGTGTTCTGCAGTGAGATGTCACACAGCCTGTGGTGTTCTGCAGTGAGATGTCACAGAGCCTGTGGTGTTCTGCAGTGAGATGTCACAGAGCCTGTAGTGTTCTGCAGTGAGATGTCACACAGCCTGTAGTGTTCTGCAGTGAGATGTCACAGAGCCTGTGGTGTTCTGCAGTGAGATGTCACAGAGCCTGTGGTGTTCTGTAGTGAGATGTCACAGAGCCTGTGGTGTTCTGCAGTGAGATGTCACAGAGCCTGTGGTGTTCTGCAGTGAGATGTCACAGAGCCTGTGGTGTTCTGCAGTGAGATGTCACAGAGCCTGTGGTGTTCTGCAGTGAGATGTCACAGAGCCTGTGGTGTTCTGCAGTGAGATGTCACAGAGCCTGTGGTGTTCAGTGAGATGTGAGATGTCACAGAGCCTGTGTGTTCTGCAGTGAGATGTCACAGAGCCTGTGGTGTTCTGCAGTGAGATGTCACAGAGCCTGTGGTGTTCTGCAGTGAGATGTCACAGAGCCTGTGGTGTTCTGCAGTGAGATGTCACAGAGCCTGTGGTGTGTTCTGCAGTGAGATGTCACAGAGCCTGTGGTGTTCTGCAGTGAGATGTCACAGAGCCTGTAGTGTTCTGCAGTGAGATGTTACAGAGCCTGTAGTGTTCTGCAGTGAGATGTTACAGAGCCTGTAGTGTTCTGCAGTGAGATGTCACACAGCCTGTAGTGTTCTGCAGTGAGATGTCACAGAGCCTGTAGTGTTCTGCAGTGAGATGTCACAGAGCCTGTAGTGTTCTGCAGTGAGATGTCACAGAGCCTGTAGTGTTCTGTAGTGAGATGTTACAGAGCCGGTGTGTTCTGCACACAGCCTGTAGTGTTCTGCAGTGAGATGTCACAGAGCCTGTAGTGTTCTGCAGTGAGATGTCACAGAGCCTGTGGTGTTCTGCAGTGAGATGTTACAGAGCCGGTAGTGTTCTGCAGTGAGATGTTACAGAGCCGGTAGTGTTCTGCAGTGAGATGTTACAGAGCCTGTAGTGTTCTGCAGTGAGATGTCACAGAGCCTGTAGTGTTCTGCAGTGAGATGTTACAGAGCCTGTAGTGTTCTGCAGTGAGATGTCACAGAGCCTGTAGTGTTTTGCAGTGAGATGTCACAGACCATTACTAAAGTATTGCTTAGTTGCCTACCTCTGAAGATCATCTCTGCAAGACTGGGCAGACACAGAACCTGCAACACACAATGTAGCAAGATTATAGTCTGTTTGCAATGAAAACGTACTGATGAATTTCACTTTAAACAAGAAAGTAAATCGAATAAAGTGAAATTAAGATTGCGAATCCTCATAATTTTACCTTGCCAGCTGAACATTTAAATATCAGAATTTTATTAAACTTAAGATAAAAGTTGTTTATCAAACGATCATAGTTTCAAATCGTTATTATTAGTTTGTGTTACAAGGGTGTATGCACATTAAATGAAACACCGATAACAAGTAGGGTTGGTCTAAGTTAACGCTCATCACGTACTGCACGTGCATTTGTTTCAGTGTTCCAACTACTGCGCTCACCCCTTTGTAATACAAACCAATAATAGCGATTTGAATCTATGATCGTTTGTTAAGCAACTTTCATCCTAACATGAATAAAATTCTGAGATTCAAATGTTCAAACACACTGTTCCGTTAGTTGCCAATGCGCCCTTGTATCAAACTGGGAAAACGCACAAATAAATGATGGCAGTTTCTTAAACAACCTAATCATTTTTGTGACACAAATTATGCAATTTTTCTCTAGAGTTGGTTTGTTGTTTTCATTGCAGTCCGCGTTGGTTTGATTCTTTTATGTCGATTTGTTTTTGTGTTAGATTGCAATTCATCGGTATCATTTTGTCTCAAACGGACTGTAGAGCAGACAATGCAACAATGTGATTGTGTATGTGTGTTACCTTGGTAACCCGGTAGAGCATGTAGGCACACTGTGGGGAGGACAGGTCCAGGCGGAACACCCGCGGCAGAAAGTGCTGGAACATTACAGTGTAGAACAGCAAGTTGTCCTCGATAAACTGAAACCTGAAATAGATAAGCTGAAATGTGGGTGGTGCCAGTATCGGACCAGGGTCTCGTTTCACAAAGCCCTCGTAGTGCTACAACTGTCGGAAGGCATTGCTACAGTACAGGATGTACGAATGCTATGAGGAAAGTTGCGAGATCTTAGGCTTACGAGAGATTTGTGAAACGGAATCCAGGATTTGGTCAGGATAAGAAGGTAAGGGCTCGGGCATTGTGTCTCGGTGCAGGCTTCCAACCAAGATGAGGTCAGGAAGATGGGGATCTGGGAAGTGGTTGTCAGGCAGATGGGCATTTGGGAAGTGGTTGTCAGGAAGATGGATCTGGGAAGTGGTTGTCAGGAAGATGAGGAGCTGGGAAGTGGTTGTCAGGAAGATGAGGAGCTGGGAAGTGGTTGTCAGGAAGATAGTGGGTGTCAGGAAGACGGGGATCTGGGAAGTGGTTGTCAGGAAGATGGGGAGCTGGAAAGCAGTTGTCAGGAAGATGGGTATCTGGGAAGTGGGTGTCAGGAAGAGGGGGATGTGGGAAGTGGTTGTCAGGCAGATGGGGAGCTGGGAAGTGGTTGTCAGGAAGAGGGGGATGTGGGAAGTGCTTGTCAGGCAGATGGGGATCTTGGAAGTGGGTGTCAGGAAGATGGGGATCTGGGAAGTGGGTGTCAGGCAGATAGGGATCTGGGAAGTGGTTGTCAGGAAGATGGGGATCTGGGAAGTGGTTGTCAGGAAGACGGGGATCTGGGAAGTGGTTGTCAGGAAGACGGGGAATGGGGATCTGGGGGATCGGAAGTGGTTGTCAGGAAGATGGGGATCTGGGAAGTGGTTGTCAGGAAGATGGGATCTGGGGAAGGGTTATCTGGGGGATCTAGTGGTGGTTGTGAGGAAGATGAGGAGCTGGGAAGTGGTTGTGAGGAAGATGAGGAGCTGGGGAAGTGGTTGTCAGGAAGATAGTGGGTGTCAGGAAGGCGGGATCTGGGAAGTGGTTTGTCAGGAAGGCGGGATCTGGGAAGTGGGTGTCAGGAAGGCGGGGATCTGGGAAGTGGTTGTCAGGAAGGCGGGGATCTGGGAAGTGGTTGTCAGGAAGGCGGGGATCTGGGAAGTGGTTGTCAGGAAGATGGGGATCTGGGAAGTGGTTGTCAGGAAGATGAGGAGCTGGGAAGGAAGTGGTTGTCAGGAAAGATAGTGGGTGTCAGGAAGACCGGGGATCTGGGAAGTGGTTGTCAGGAAAGGCGGGGGATCTGGGGAAGTGGTTGTCAGGAAGACGGGGGGATCTGGGGAAGTGGTTGTCAGGAAGATAGTGGGGAGTCAGGAAGATGGGGATCTGGGAAGTGGTTGTCAGGAGAAGATAGTGGGAGTCAGGAAGATGGGGATCTGGGAAGTGGTTGTCAGGAAGATAGTAGGTGCCAGGAGAAGGCGGGGATCTGGGAAGTGGTTGTCAGGAAGATGGGGATCTTGGATGTGGGTGTCAGGAAGATGGGGATCTGGGAAGTGGGTGTCAGGCAGATAGGGATCTGGGAAGTGGGTGTCAGGCAGATGGGGATCTGGGAAGTGGGTGTCAGGAAGATAGGGATCTGGGAAGTGGGTGTCAGGCAGATGGGGGAGGATTATTTGAGAAACACTCACCATCTCTCATCCACCTTTTTGTCTCTCAAATCTGTGGGGTCAGGACGGTGGGAGTCTTTACTCTGGTAGTACTGGTTGGGATCTGTATATCGCCATGGCTGGATATAGCTGAGCCAGGTTTCCAGAACCTACATGACAGACAATACTGTGTATACACATACTCTCTACAGCTGTTGTGAAGTGACTTCCTACATCAACTTGAATGGTGACTGACTACATCACCTTCATATGGTGACTGATCTCGAAAGTGATATTTTATACCGTATGACAGCAACTATCTCACCATTCTGAAAGATGAGTCCAGCGGCCACCTCTCAAAGGCATGGCCAAGGAAGTTGTACATCTTCTTTTGTATGATTTGTGGCACAGCAGTCCTGAAACACACAACAGCAACAAGACTAATGTTGTATCTGTCGCATCACATGGGTACATATATTTATTCAGGTTTCATTACAGTATGCAAATCTGTGTAGGGCGAAGACAGTTTATCGTTTTCCCATGTATACCCTTGGGGGCATGTGATGTTTATGCCTGTGATGAGCTGAACACATGAAAGAGAAGTCTTTATCATAGATATACCACCCTGTTCCTTTTTAAACTGTATCAAATAATTGAAATAAATGTTCATTCAAACAGCAACTGTATCTCAATGTTTCCATGGATACTTGAGACACAATTCTGAATATCAGTGGTCTCAGATGAATTATCAAAATATGGTGAATATGGTATACAAAAATTTCCTGACTTTAGAAATTTTATTACTTATGTTTGCAGATGACCTTCTGTTTGATACAATTCCTGGGTTACAAAATCAATGTAATATTTTATATAATTTCTCTCAATAATTGGGCTTGAAAATTATTTTAAGTAAGAAAAATAATGTTCTTTTCAAAAGTGGAAGTCCCCTAGCGAGTGTTTTTTGAATGCTGCCAATAACAACAGTTAATACTTAAAAATATTTGGGTGTGATAGTTTCTTCAACTTTTAAAATGAGAAATTGTGTTAATGACCTGGCACTAAGAGGTAAACAGGCTTTAATGGAGGTAATTACTAATCCCAGTAAGACTGGAATTATAGATCCGAGTGTGATTTTAAAATACAGTGCACCCTGGTTATAATGCCACCCTGGTTATAATGCCACCCTGGATATAATGCCACCCTGGTTACAATGCCACCCTGGACATAATGGCATGTGCCAATGGTTTTTGGAACAGTCATCTGCTGAACAAATCTCTAAGTACATTAATTGTTGCTTCTGCAGATGTAGTTCTCATCAGAGCAACTTCTCATCAGCACAACTTCTCATCAACCCAACTTCTCATCAACTGAACTTCTCATCACTTGACCGACGCCAGCATGGTATCTCAGTGGGCATGGTGTCTCAGTGGGCTAGCATGGTATCTCATGGATCAGTGGGCTAGCACTATAAAACCAGCTTCAGTCTGGGCTAGTACACAGCCGCATTACACATACACACATACATGCGACGCGTCATATGAACGAAAATATTCTCAAGAACGACGTTAAAACCCAATTTCATCTCACCTCATTTCTCATTAGCAACTTCTCACCAGCAAAACTTCTCATCAGCCCAAAATATCATCAACGCAAACATCAGAGCAAAAATCATCAGCATAACTTCTCATGAGCGCAACTTCTCATCAATTCAACTTCTCATCAATTCAACTTCTCATCAATTCAACTTCTCATCAGAGCAACTTCATCAGAGCAACTTCTCATCAACGTAACTTCTCATCAACCCAACTTCTCATCAACCCAACTTCTCATGAACCCAACTTCTCATCAGAGCAACTTCTCATCAATTCAACTTCTCATCAACCCAACTTCTCATGAGCTTCTTCTCATCAGTTCAACTTCTCATCAATTCAACTTCTCATCAACCCAACTTCTCATCAGATTCAACTTCTCATCAACCCAACTTCTCATCAACTCAACTTCTCATCAACTCAACTTCTCATCAATTCAACTTCTCATCAATTCAACTTCTCATCAACGCAACTTCTCATCAGCACAACTTCTCATCAACCCAACTTCTCATCAGAGCAACTTCTCATCAACTCAACTTCTCATCAACCCAACTTCTCATCAGCGCAACTTCTCATCAGCGCAACTTCTCATCAGCACAACTTCTCATCAGCACAACTTCTCATCAGCACAACTTCTCATCAGAGCAACTTCTCATCAACCCAACTTCTCATCAACCCAACTTCTCATCAGCGTAACTTCTCATCAACACAACTTCTCATCAGCGCAACTTCTCATCAATTCAACTTCTCATCAGAGCAACTTCTCATCAACCCAACTTCTCATCAACCCAACTTCTCATCAATTCAACTTCTCATCAACCCAACTTCTCATCAACCCCAACTTCTATCAGTTCAACTTCTCATCAATTCAACTTCTCATCAATCTCGCAACTTCTCATCAGCTCAACTTCTCATCAATTCAACTTCTCATCAGAGCAACTTCTCATCAGCGCAACTTCTCATCAACGTAACTTCTCATCAACCCAACTTCTCATCAACACAACTTCTCATCAACCCAACTTCTCATCAGAGCAACTTCTCATCAGTTCAACTTCTCATCAACCCAACTTCTCATGAGCGTCAACTTCTCATCAAACCAACTTCTCATCAATTCAACTTCTCATCAACCCAACTTCTCATCAGTTCAACTTCTCATCAACCCAACTTCTCATCAACTCAACTTCTCATCAACTCAACTTCTCATCAGTTCAACTTCTCATCAATTCAACTTCTCATCAGTTCAACTTCTCATCAACCCAACTTCTCATCAACCCAACTTCTCATCAACCCAACTTCTCATCAGAGCAACTTCTCATCAGCAACTTCTCATCAACCTTAACTTCTCATCAGCCCAACTTCTCATCAGTAGCCCAACTTCTCATCAGCACAACTTCTCATCAGCACAACTTCTCATCAAGCAACTTCTCATCAACCCAACTTCTCATCAACCCAACTTCTCATCAGTTCAACTTCTCAACCCAACTTCTCATCAATTCAACTTCTCATCAATTCAACTTCTCATCAGAGCAACTTCTCATCAACCCAACTTCTCATCAATTCAGCTTCTCATCAATTCAACTTCTCATCAACCCAACTTCTCATCAACCCAACTTCTCATCAATTCAACTTCTCATCAATTCAACTTCTCATCAACCCAACTTCTCATCAGCACAACTTCATCAGCTTCTCATCAGAGCAACTTCTCATCAACCCAACTTCTCATGGAACCCAACTTCTCATCAGATTCAACTTCTCATCAACCCAACTTCTCATCAACCCAACTTCTCATCAGCCCAACTTCTCATCAGCCCAACTTCTCATCAGTTCAACTTCTCATCAATTCAACTTCTCATCAATTCAACTTCTCATCAGGGCAACTTCTCATCAGTTCAACTTCTCACCAGTTCAACTTCTCATGAACCCAACTTCTCATCAGTTCAACTTCTCATCAAGCAACTTCTCATCAATTCAGCTTCTCATCAACCCAACTTCTCATGAACCCAACTTCTCATCAGTTCAGCTTCTCATCAACCCAACTTCTCATGGACCTTCTTCTCATCAGTTCAGCTTCTCATCAACCCAACTTCTCATCAGCTGGCTTCTCATCAACCCAACTTCTCATCAGTTCAACTTCTCATCAATTCAACTTCTCATCAGCGTCAACTTCTCATCAGAGCAACTTCTCATCAACCCAACTTCTCATCAACCCAGCTTCTCATCAATTCAGCTTCTCATCAATTCAACTTCTCATCAACCCAACTTCTCATCAGCACAGCTTCTCATCAGAGCAACTTCATCAACCCAACTTCTCATGAACCCAACTTCTCATCAGTTCAACTTCATCAACCCAACTTCTCATCAGCACAACTTCTCATCAGCCCAACTTCTCATCAACCTAACTTCTCATCAATTCAACTTCTCATCAATTCAACTTCTCATCAGTTCAACTTCTCATCAATTCAACTTCTCATCAGGCAACTTCTCATCAATTCAACTTCTCATCAACCCAACTTCTCATCAGAGCAACTTCTCATCAATGGCTTCTCATCAGCCCAACTTCTCATCATTCAATTCAACTTCTCATCAGCCCAACTTCTCATCAGAGCAACTTCTCATCAGAGCAACTTCTCATCAGCACAACTTCTCATCAGAGCAACTTCTCATCAGAGCAACTTCTCATCAGGCAACTTCTCTTCAGCCAGCTTCTCATCAGCCCAACTTCTCATCAGCCCAACTTCTCATCAATGGCAACTTCATCAGCCCAGCTTCTCATCAACCCAACTTCTCATCAGAGCAACTTCTCATCAGCCCAACTTCTCATCAACCCAACTTCTCATCAACCCAACTTCTCATCAGTTCAGCTTCTCATCAGCTGGCTTCTCATCAGCTGGCTTCTCATCAGCTGGCTTCTCATCAGCACAACTTCTCATCAGAGCAACTTCTCATCAACCCAACTTCTCATCAACCCAACTTCTCATCAACCCAACTTCTCATCAGTTCAACTTCTCATCAGTTCAACTTCTCATCAGGCAACTTCTCATCAACCCAACTTCTCATCAACCCAGCTTCTCATCAACCCAACTTCTCATCAATTCAACTTCTCATCAACGCAACTTCTCATCAGCACAACTTCTCATCAACCCAACTTCTCATCAGAGCAACTTCTCATCAACCCAACTTCTCATCAACCCAACTTCTCATCAGCACAACTTCTCATCAACCCAACTTCTCATCAGCACAACTTCTCATCAGCCCAACTTCTCATCAACCCAACTTCTCATCAACCTACTTCTCATCAGCACAACTTCTCATCAGCACAACTTCTCATCAGAGCAACTTCTCATCAACACAACTTCTCATCAGCGCAACTTCTCATCAACCCAACTTCTCATCAACTTCCAACTTCATCAACCCAACTTCTCATCAACAGCTAACTCTCATCAACCCAACTTCTCATCAACCCAACTTCTCATCAACCCAACTTCTCATCAACCTAACTTCTCATCAACGTAACTTCTCATCAACGTAACTTCTCATCAACGCAACTTCTCATCAACCCAACTTCTCATCAACCCAACTTCTCATCAACATAACTTCTCATCAACCCAACTTCTCATCAACGTAACTTCTCATCAACGTAACTTCTCATCAACGTAACTTCTCATCAACGTAACTTCTCATCAACGTAACTTCTCATCAACGTAACTTCTCATCAGTATAACTTTGAATAGGAATCTACTTCAACTAAGTAGTCCTGATTGTCCTTTGTAGCAAAATCCACATGAACTTCAACTCTGGCCCATGGCATAAGTGGCGTCACAGATGGC